CCCGCTCCCCTGGGGTACCTTGGGTCCACCGCGCCGCGTGCGCGCCCTCGGGGCGCCCGCCGGGTGAGACAGTGTGGCCGCCCGCAGTTTCCATACCCGCGCGGCACGTTCGATTTCGCCCGCTTGCCGGGATCGTTTTTGGTCCCCAGTACGGAAATTAGTATTAAAGTCAAAGGGCCCGCGGGGAGCCTTTCCCAGATGGGACAGGACATCCTTGTGACATTCCTGCACCTGTTCTGGGCTTGCTCCTCCCCATTCCACAGAAACTCAAATATTTTTCCCCTTGCTGGGAAGAGCAGGGAGGAAGAAAGAGTGAATGAAAAAGCGCTGCTCTTACCTAAAAGTGAGGGTTTGTAAAAGGGGGTGCGGGAAAAGTTAAAGTCGGGTTTACCCCCTAGAAGGAAACCCAGGAAGTGTGCGGCTTTCTCCTTCCGACGTCCCCCAAGTGCCCCTGGGGTCCCTGTCACTTCAAGAAAGCCTAGAAGAAGAACTGCGACACCCAGGACAGAGGCAGCCGGACAGGCAGAAGGACAGACAGAGACGGAGAAGCAGAGCACCTACTGGTTGTGGTAGCCGAGGGGGTCCGGGATGCAGAGTTCTGACACGTCCATCAGTCCCGTTTTAGCATTCCCAGTTGGTAGAGAAAGGCGGCGGGGAAATCACGCGGAAGAGCGAGTGAAGGGCACCGGCGAGGTGCGAGTCCGGGCAGGGGCACAGTGAGCGGGAGAAGGCAGAGTGGGAGGAGGCGCCGTGGCTGGGCGCGAGGGAGGCAGAGAGCCGTGCGCGCACAGCCCAGCGCTCCCACTCATGCACACACTCCGAGCGGGCAGAAGGGATGGGAAGCCGCGGAGGAGACTCGGGCACCAGAGACTTGGAGCCCACTAACCCTACTGTAGCTTTAAGGCTGGGAGACTGATGTATGGTTTGGCTCCTATTGGCTATCTCTCAGGGGCTGGACTTAAAGTGACAGAATCGAGCTGGGGTGGGGGGAGGGGGGTGAGCCAGAGAGACTTCAATGGAATCAGACGCTCGCGCGAGGTCCCCACCTCCTGAGGAGTAGGAGGACTGTGCTGTAGAGCCGCAAGGCCTATCCTCTCGCCATTAAAGAAAAAAAAATTGTCCAACTGGCTGGTGGGACTAGGGTGCTGAAAGATATGCCGCTTACTTGTCCTCTCACCCCTATCCTATCTTTTAACTGGCAGGCCTAGCAAACTCACCTCTCAGCCTTTTAGAATGGGTCTATTTTACAAATTAAAAATGAGTGACATTTCTCCTCCCTTTTATCAAGGAGAAGAGGCCAGCACCTTAGAAATTCACAGCCTCAAACCTGGAGTTTGCTGCACAAAAGTGCAAAAGGTCAGGTGAGGTGCCCAGCAAGAGAGAACAGGACGGAAACAGATTCACTTCCCAGCTCTCATCGCCTGGGCCAGTCGGTTCTGAACCGCTTTCATTTGGCTAGACGCAGGGCATACACCTCTAAAATGCTCTCTAGGTGTATAAAATGATGCTCTCTTCATTGGCAACTGTCAGAAACGTACCCAGGACACAGCTACCAGCAAATTAATTTCTGTCTGCCTAGGAAAACACAATTGGGGTTAAAATTACCAACTTACCTGCCACATCCACTTTAAGGCACAAGTAGACACTTCAGTAGCCATACCTGAATTTCCAGCTATGAACACACACCTGCACCCCTCTCTGCTGCTCCCTCCATGAACTCGAATACTATGGGCTGCCACTGTATGAAAAACCAGCTATAAGTCTAGCCCGAATCCTTCTTCTGGGCCCTGTCATCTTTTGAGATGTGCCAGCCACAGGGATAATGATCAATTTGATGGTTCAAATGAGTATGTGGAGAGGATAGGTATAGAATTATTTAAAGGGGGGAAAAAAAGCCCTCAGAAGAGACCACCACCGTATTCTCCTATATTCTACAAAAGACAATAAGCAGTGGATGGAGGACATCATTTTATCATCAAAATAATGTCTGAATGGAGTGTAACTGCAGACAGCATTCAAACACTTTCAGGAATAAAAGCAGGGAGGGTCGTAAGAAACCCCAGGAGAGGCCAGCAGGCCAGCCGGCACTCGGCTGCTCTGGAGGTGCTGGGGAATGGGCAGCAGGATGGCAGATGATACTTGACTTGGGTAAATGTAAGCTCGTGCAGGCTGGGAAACAGGACTGAGGTTTTTCATATGTGCCTAAGTGGAGGAACGTGTGGGATTCTCCGGGCACGGGGCGCTGGCAGACACCTCACAGAGAAATGGATGAAGATGTTGGCTCTGTCAGCAGAAGGCCCAGCAGCCCAGGATTTTTTTTTTTAATCACATAGGTCCTTGGTTACATTGGAGACAGAAAGAGGGGTGCAGAGACACCACCACTACCTCTTGCCAAGACCTCAGTGACTGGTTTTTTTGCATCCTTTCTGGCCCCCAGAAATCTATTCTCCCAGAGCACAGCAGCCAGGGAGCGCTTTGTAAAATGCACCTCCGAAGTCCCCTTTGCAATTTGTTGCAATGAGGAAAGAGGCCCCAGTCCTTTCCTGTGGCCTACACGGCAGGTCCCATATGGCAGGCTCCTGTGTGTCCCTCTGCACCCCTCCTCAGCCCATGCCGTGCTCCCTTCATTGCTCCCTTCATTCTTTGCACCTGCCACCTAGAATGCTCCCCTTCCAGATCACACCAGAACCTTCTGCTCTTTGCCTTGCCTTAGGTAACTTTAATTAGTTTGTGATTATACATATATTGGTATGAATAATACCCACCCACTTCTGCACTAGATTCTAAGCTCCATAAGGGCAGGGACCTTGTCTGTTTTTGTTCACTGGAGAATCCCCAGTGCCTGGTACATATAGTTGCTTGATAAAGACTTTGTTGAATGAAATGTTAGACCACAGCAGTTTGGGTGCGGGGCCAGAGCCTGCCAAGGGACAGGCCAGCTGCCCCGGAAGGGGTAAGGCTTTGACAGATTGTATCAGATCTGTTGGCTCCTTGCTTTGGGTGGGTGTACCTTTTTAAACTGGAGACAGAGCACACAGAAGAGCATGAAAAGAAAGACAACTTCAGAGCCTGGAGCAGTGGGTGCAAAGCCACTGGGGGCAAATGAGGGAAAATCGGAAGACTGTGTTGGTACAAAAGCTAGGCTAATGCCCATACAATTACCGTCTGCATCCTAGGCACAGGGATGAAGGTAACAGGGCTTCACCCCGGGCACTAGCCGATTGTCCTCCAGGACGGGAACCAGGTCTCTGAGACCTGGTCCTCTTCTAACAGTCCTCTTACGCAGTCTCTGTCCAGCCTCCTTGCACACAACCCTGGGGCAGAGTTCTTCTTCCCTCCCTGGCAAGTCTGAGCCTACAGACTCCACTGGAGGAGAGAAGAGGGCCCACTGATAGGGCCACCCTGGGTAATTGATCTAGCCTGGTAGGTCCAGGCTTCTCCTGTGGTTTCCCAGGCAAACGTGGCCGGCTCATACACTGTCTGCGGGAACAGCTCTTCTCCCTCTGTGTCCTTAACCAGCTCACGAGAGGTGAGATTCTGTCCCAGAGCCAGAGTCAGATCTATGCTCCAGCTAGAGAGGCAGCAGTGTGGGAGGATGCAGAGGACCCTGGGATCTGTTCTTGACAACTCCCTCTAGTCTGGCCAAAGTTATCTCTTCTCCAGAAAACAGAGGTGGTGCTGGAGATAGAGTAGGGTGGGCAGGGCTCTTGGGCCCCCTCAAGCTTGAAATTCATTCAAACGATCATCATTTCATACTCCCACTGCTCACCTACAGCAGGTGCTATTTGTAATCCATCCCAGCAAAAGCGTCTAAGCCACCCCTACCCTCTCCTGTGTCCCGATACTGGCACTCCCAGTTGGGCAAGTCAGCCAGAAGGGACTGGAACAAAGGTATTAGACACAGTAATTGTGGAGGGTAGAAGGGGACAGGAGCTTACTTTATTTTTGTGACAAACTCCTTTAAATAGATATTTATTACATTTACAGGACCTTACAACTCAGGGCATCATTTAGAACCATCATCAGACCTTATAAATAAATTTGCAAATGTCCCTGTGTGGTGAAGTGACCTACCCAAGGTCACACACTGAATAACTGGCAAAGCATGGATTTCTACTTATTCAACTCCTAACGCTGTGTACACAAGGCTCTTCACTTTCCCTCCTCCCTCCTTCCCCAAGTTCAAGCTCTTTCCTAAGGAATATGAAGCCAAATCAGAGCCGTGCCCTTGGCAACACATTCCATACTCACATCACCTGGGAGATGGTGGGGACCCAGCCTTCTGTGTCCATACCCTTTCCTAAATGGTTTGCTCAGGCTGGGGTTCCAGGAGGCAGATAAGTAGGAAAACATACCCAGACACATCTCAGCCTGTTCTGTTTTCCAAACCAATGCTCTCTGGGTACATACAGCACCAAGTGTGTCATAAACAGCCAAACCCAGGTCCACACTATCCACCCGCAATTTCCCATCCCAGTCTGGCTAAGTCCTTACAATGGTCTGTCCGCATGCTTGCACCTGGATCTCGAGGGTCACTCGAGCTGTCTTGCCATGATCTAGGAAGCTGACCCCAGCACAGCACCCTTTGCCACAAGTATGGTGAAGAACTCCACCCTTGCCCTGGTCCCTTGATTAGGATGTCCCTTGTCTTGAGGTGCCCCACCCCCCGACTGCAGTCACTTCTGCACACACAAGGCAGCAGCAAGCAGTGTCTCTTAGGCTCTTGAATCCCCTCCCTGGACATGCTACTCTCAGCCCAACAACAAGAAGGCCTTCCCCAACTTTCAACCCAGGCAGCTTAGCAGGATGTCTTGGTGGTTTATCACTAACAGACAAGACCTAACAGGAATTTGGTGATTCTGGTACCTGCCCCCTACATGCCATGAATGCAGGACACTGACTGGTTGCACCATCCTTGTCCCTTGTCCTTACCCACATTTCCCAAACCAAGTTTCCAGGTGAGAGTGATGACTAAACACAAGGTGTGTAGTCACTTCTTACCGCCAGCCCAGGAAGGAGAGGATGCCTTCAGGGAACTGCCTGAATCACAATCCAAGTTTGTTTCTGTTCCACCCCAGGGTAAGCACTGGGGTTGTTGAATTGCAGAAACACATCCATTGACAGTCCCCAACGACTAGGGTAGGCCCGGTCTGGACAGTCAGCCTAACCTGGGCATCTCGGGACAGTGCTGATCAAGCCAAGGATCCATGGACTCCTGGCCAGGGAAAATGTCCCTGACCACACATCCCTGTGGGCCTGCCCTCTTCTCAATGCTTGAATTTGGGGATGTGGGGTTATATCCCTGCGTGCTGGTCAGCAGACTGGCAGCCCACTGGCTGGCACATGTCCCACGGATCATAATTAACTGATAACGCTAATACAATGTGAGTTTGTGCTCCCATAATAGTCTCCTGCTGACAGATAAATGCCGCGGAAACATGATGGCTTTTCCTGAAGCTGTAATGGGCCATTATTGGGGCAAGAAGGCTCATGTCCTATTAGCACTTGCTGCCATGACACCAAAGATAAAATATGAAAGGGACGATGTCTTGAGTGGATAAATGCTTGGGTTCCCTCCCACCACCAGCGTCATCCATTTCATTATCTGAAATCCCTAGCAGGGGTCCTGGAATAATTTCCAGATATTCCAAAGCTCCGTTATTCCTTTTTTTTTTTCCTGAGCCTCCAGATCCCATTCTTACCAACATAGCTGAATACTAGCATATTACAGTTCTCTGTTTACCAAAAAGATTCCTTGCCCCAGTGCAAGATGGCGACTGCAGTGAGCAGGCAGGCTGGGGGGCATGAAGGTGGACGTGTCTCTCCATAGAAACAAAGTCTTTTCCCTCCCAATCACCAGGAGGACAAAGC